ACCAAGATTTGAAAGTATCTTGTCCCCTTATTGGTCCTTTGGGTCAGGTGTCAGCCAGGTTACCTGAGTTTCTTAACCCTTTACAGGTAAAAGGATTTTGGAGTCTCTGGCCAGGAGGGATTTTATAGTACTGTACACAGGAGGGCTGTTACCCTTCCCTTTATAGTTATGACAGCCTCCCTTGTCGGCGGCAGAACGGTTGCGAAGAATTAGAAAGTGTCCAAGAAGAACTAAGGAGGACTTTATGCATGAGGTTATGATGCACTCCGCCACCGAGAAAAAGGAATTGAAGGAATGGTGGGACACTGAGAAGAGGGACCGAAAGGAGAACGCGGCACACCAGAAAGAAGCCACGGAGCGGCTCTTAACAGTTATGGAGCACCAAGCGGACACGCTCCAGGCGATACTAGCTCTTCAAACCGAGCAGTTCCGTGCCTGCCCTCCCCTGCAGCCACTGTCACAAGACTCTTTCCCATGCACACCCTTCACACTGCCAGCAAACTCTTATCAACCTCCTGGCTCCACTCTCTAGCCTCAGCATTCCACTCCTCCCTCCTCACAGTCGAGCAGTGGGAACTCCCAATACCCACTGCACTCAACACCCTCCATCTGCAGTTTGGCCCTGCTGAAGTACAGCACCCGCTGCATCGTACTCCAAAGGGGAAGGTTGGTTATGATCCCTGGACATACACAAATCTGTAGCCATGCCAAGACCTCTCCTCCTTTTGAGGTCTTCCATTCCCACATTCCTTCTATTCCCCCATCCCTGCCGATGAATTTTTTCAGTTCACTCTCTCCTCTGGTTGTTGTCTTTCAATAAAAGAATTGTATTTGTTTGAAAGCAATCTTTATTAAGTTAAAGCAAAAAGACCACTGCAAAGCAACATACATACAGCTATGTTAAGGCCCCTTCTTGCCTCATGTGCACCAATCACATCCTAGCATTACAAGCACTGCAATCCCGAGCATAGCAATAAATATTAGTGGCTTTCCGCTTCAAATTTCAATAGCATCCCTAATCCTTATGGCTCTGCACTGTGTCCCTCTAATAGCCCCGGTCTCCGGCTGTTCAAACTCAGCTTCCTGGCGCTGAGCCTCTGTGGTCCAGCCCTGAGTGAAGCTTTCATCCTTCCCTTCACAAATATTATGGAGTGTACAGCATGCGGCTATAAGCATAGGAATATTATTATCCCTCATGTCCAGCTTCCCATACAGGCATTGCCAGCAGGCTTTTAAACGGCTGAATGCACACTCCACAGTCATTCTGCACTTGCTCAGCCTGTTGTTGAACCGCTATTTGCTACTCTCAAGTTGCCCCATGGATGGCTTCATGAGCATTAAGGGGTAGGCGGGATCTCCCAGGATCACAATGGGCATTTCTACTTCCCCTACGGTGATCTTCTGGTCTGGGAAGAAAATCCCTGCTTGCAGCTTCTTGAACAGGCCAGTGTTCCAAAAAGATGCATACGTCATGCACCTTTCTTGACCAGCCAGAGGTAATGTCTATGAAATGCCCACGGTGATCCAAAAGTGCCTGGAGAACCATTGAGAAATACCCCTTGTGATTAATGTACTCGGTGCCAGAATTGGAATGTGCATACCATCGATCGCCCCTCCACAGTTAGGGAAGCACATATATGCAAAGCCATCCACAATGTCACGCACGTTGCCCAGAGTCATGGTCTTTCGGAGCAGGATGCGATTACTGAGCCTGCACACTTGCATCAACACAAGTCCAATGGTCGACTTTCCCATTCCGAACTGGTTAGCGACTGATCGGTAGCAGTCTGAAGTAGCCAGCTTCCACTGTGCAATCGCCACACGCTTCTCCAACGGCAGGGCAGCTCTCATTCTCGTGTCCTTGCGTCTCAGGGCTGGTGTGAGCTCATCACACAGTCCCATGAATGTGGCTTTCTTTTCAGTGGGATTGATCACTGTGCATTCAGTTAAGCATATATGTAGGGCTTTGCAGGATTGGAGCTCTAGATAGTAAACTCTTTAAGGTAGGGGCCATATCTTATTTTGATACAGAGCCTAGAGTAATGGGACTCCAATCTTGATTGGGAACCTCAGGCACTAGCACAATACTATTAACAAAAACAACAAAAAAAGCTTTTGCAATCATAACACCTTTCATCTGAAGATCTTAAATTGTTTTACAATATTAATTAATTTTACCCCAAATATCCTGGAGAGATAGGTAAGTATTAATACCCCATTTTACAGTTGAGGAAGAAGACAAAAGAGAGATTAAATGCAAGATTTTTGTAAGTAGGAGCCTAAAGTCAGGCAGTTCTTGTGCACATATATTTTCCACTTT